AATTGCTGCTTCATGCTTCTTTGAACATTCTTTAAATATTGACTTTTTTAAAAAAATTTTCACATAGATGCTTTCACAAGTATGTCTGTGACCAGATTATTCTAAATGTATAACATAAATACATCGAATTTCTCGAATTAACTCCATCTTATTGAACTGAAATTTATTAAAGTAAAGTATTAAGTAAAGTACTCAATTATTCTCTTTTCTTATGATACTTTACATAATCATCCTTAAATAAATAAAGATTTAGTTTCTTGTCATAGTGTTATACGATTAGTTTGAAGCCAGCTTATCAGATATAATAGATTAATATCTTTGTTAACCAATTAAAACATATCTTTCTATTATGAAATGACAATCTAGTATAACAAAACATTACTTGATAAGCGTTTAGTTACAATAAACATCATTATCATATCTCTTATATATAAATTGTTATAAGAAAACATAACATAATACTTAATGAAGTATCTATGTTGTTATCATATCAATGTTAACAAAGATTGATCAATCGTCAAATCAGTTTTAAGATTCAATATAAAGATCACATTGATAAGTTGTGCTTATAAATTGTCTGAATCTATTTGTAAAAGCTATAAATTTTACATGGAGTAAACTTACATCCCATGTACTTATTGGCTTATTGCTTTATGTATAAATCTTTGAATAGATTGATTGTATTTTTTAGAATATATTTGATTAGCATTATGTCAATGCTTCCATCTTTTAGTTTTCAATAGTTCATTGTATAAATATTTGAAGTTAATACAAATATCCTACCATCATTTAAAGTTGTTGTTTTTCTTTAAATAGTATTATAATTTGTAGACCACCCATTATGTAATAAGCTAAAATAATGAGTAAATTAGTTCCCTATTGTAGGTTAATAAATAAAAGAACTTTCGTTTATTATAAAATACATTTTTATATAAATATTTAATATTATTATTATTATTAATGGCTTTATTCAATATTATATTTTGGTACAATATAGAATTCTCAGCACAATAGTTGACATATTTTATGGATATTTCATGTGGTGCTATAAACTCATCGAATTGCAAACATTTTAATAAAAACAATAATTTCAGAAATAATTAAGTAAACGTCAATTATTGATTACAAGTAGTAAATGGTTAGTAACTAGGATAGAGTAAACAAAATTAAATTTCAATAAGATTTAAAATAGTAAGTGTTCAAGTACAGAGATGTCACTTTTCGGTATAGTTAATTTAAATACATGAATATCAATGGTATGACTTAATTGTCAAGTATGTTTAATGTAAACACCAAGTAATACTTCATCAAAAGTCCTACTTGTTATTGAAGAGAAAGATAATGGGATATATGTTGCTTCTCATAGTTTCAATCACCAACATATCTTATCTAGACCTCAGATGAATACTTGAACTCTTTAGTAGTGATTTCAACGAATCTTCGTCTAAAGATCGAACTCGGCACCTTCGTACTCCCAGACAAACGTATCCATCCAACCAATTCATGGTACTGGGCAAACATAATCCACTCCTTATAGTGAGTAATTATCTCATACTCGACACGGTTCAATTTCACTCATCACACCTCACTAATACTCGTAAAGTTGATTTTTTGAAGTTAGTCAGTATAGAAAACCGTTCCAGTGCTTTCAGGTTCTCAGCGATATTCTGACTAAGACCAGTTTGTGTTTTAAACTATGAAAGTTCAAAAAGCTCTGTGAACCCCTCTACATTAAGTATAGCTTTTTTTGGTTATCTGTAAAATATCATTCAAACACAATCTTATTGAATGTGTCTTCTAGTACCATAAGTCTAGACATAAAAGTAATTTAATTGCAATAAACGCTCAATGTCACGGTTTCATTAGGATCGATTTATGATCCAACTTTAAGATACAAATCTCATGTCTAAAATTGCTTGCGATAATCGCTATTGAGCTTTTAAACACTATTAATTTACATATACACTGAAATTGTGATGAATGTGATATGGATCAAACGTTTTTATTTCTTTAAGGGAAAATGTAAATATAAGTTAGTAAGTTGTCAAACTCATAAATTAACTGACCTATTTTGATAAACTTTACTTCAAGATAGCCAATAAAAGATACCTGAGAGAGAAAAAAATGAAGCAAATAAGTGAGAAGAATAAAGGGACTGACAGAAAAAAATTCCAGAAAATATAGTTCGAATAAGTATTAAGAAGTCATAGAAATCTTTGTCATTTAAATTAAATGGATTAATATAAGTAATCTGTATACGTGAATTTAGTATAGCAGATTCTTCAGAAGAAATATTTCCGATACGGATGAGGCATATCTAGACGTTACTCATGTACAGGCTTATTCACTGATCAATATTTCCGAGTATATACTTTTTCAATACTTATAAAAGTTTTGTTACCTAATCTCTTGAAGATTGATTTCTTTACCATTCAACTATAGATTCAATTAGATTCGATCATGTCATTGTATCAGTTAAATACAGCTCATTTCTAATATTTATTTCTTTAATTGGAATGAGGTAAATAATCTTCTTTTTGAGCACTTGATTATGAATAATTTATTCATTTTCAGAGAATTTATTGTTAGTGTTATCTGTAAGGACTGTCTTTATTATTCGAATCTTAAGCAATAAATACTCTTCATAACTTCAGTTTACATGGCGCTATTTCATTTCATGACTAATCATTTCCTAGATGACTTCAATGTTTGCCCCCAAATGCCCTGGTACGGCCGAGAATGGGGAGAGTCCGCTCTTCCTCTCGAAATGCGGCCACGCGTATATAGCCTCTGCTAGGGAAGTCCTACTCACTGCCTTCTCGTGGCGGGGGTGTTGTTTACGAAAATGAGAGGACGAAAATGTCCGGGGCTTTAACCGGATTCCAAACCAATGGTACACATGGGCTCCAGTATCCTGAGGGAACAAATGGCGTATGAACCAATTGTTGGTCACCGGCTTCCATGGGAATGCATCTCCTTACGATGCTCCACTGCCTTGTGGATCAGACCTTCAGGTCGAAGGCTCGGGGAGTGGCCCCCTAAGAAAACCACCTGCTTCGGTCTGGGCACCCGAGGAGTATCACAGCCCTCACACATATCGAATGAGATTTGTGTGGCACATATGTATTTGGTGCCTCTTTATACCATTATCTATGTGTTGAAGTAAATAAATAAATAAATGACTTCAATGTAATATGTTTCATTTATATATCTAAATGAGCATCTACAATAAATACTAAATGAAATAGAGGTATTGTAAAAACGTATTCTACATCGTTCGATCACAATTATTTATGATTAACTGCAAAGAAATTAAATCACTCAAAATTGATATTGTGCTTTTATGATGTAAAATTATATTCGGCCAAAATTACCATATATGTTGGCTAAAAGTGGAATTTAAGACACGTATATCGTTCTATTTGGCACTCGTTTTCAGGATTTAACTGATATCCACTTCAGAATTCAAATCCAGTACCGTTGGTATCAAACGCTGTCGCATTATCCACTTAGCTACTACGTGCAAATAGTCACTGGTTTGTGCATTGGTTATTTTAATCTTCCTATTGATGTTTAAGACTACAAATGAACAGTTTCTTGTGACGTTTGTACATCTTGTGCAGATTTTATCGACATTGTCTTAAATCACAAGGATTATAAGCTAAGATAGATGGTGGCTAACAGTGAAGTCTTGGACACACATTCCATCTTATTCAAACAATCTATGCAAATTATCATTTATTTAGTGCTTTGTTATCTTGACAAATTCTCACGGACAATCACATATTTACTCATTATGAACCTGCTACACATTGACTCATATTGAATTACCGAAAAGTTGATGAAAAGTCTTTCAAAACATCTGTGATTACAAATAGTCAATAGCGAACATTGCTTTATTCAATGCTCAAATAGAAATTAAACCGATTGCATAAAATGAATATTTAGCTTACATACTATTATGATAGACTAGATAGAAGAAGACATATTATTTACTAGGTAATTCATTATAGAGTTAAAAGCTTACTAAACTGATATTGATCAATCATTTATGACATTTACTCATACCATTTTTCTGTCAATAATTTGTATATAAGCATGTTATTTTACTATAAACGACTTAATCGTTTGCTTAATGGTCTATCTTTCACCTCAGATCATTTAGTAGACTTATCTTAATGATTCATTTTTACAAGCAGCCATCATACAACCACTTCTATGTTGTTAATCAATTAACAATTTTATTTAGTTTATTTAAACAAATGAACAATTGTTTATCAAACCATTGAAATTCTAATTTATAACTACTTTGAATTAAAAAAATAGGTTTGCCTCCTTGGTTAAACGAACAACCTAAAAGATACATATGTTACTCAGTATGATGAAGCTGAATTTTCACAGTGTTACTTCCATTTGTTAAGACTATAAAATATTATATTGTAGTGAATGAAAACTCAGATTGGAGAAATCAATATTTTCTTTAATGCAAAATTACACAGTACCTTTGTCACATAATGAAAATCTTACATTAAATACATTATTTTGAACATCTTTTTTTGCGTTGTCCTTAATCTACTCCATTACTCCTTCAATTCTGTGGATATTCCAATTGATCCTTGTTTCTCTTCCTGTTCTCTTTAATTCAATCTTCGGCTGCCAGACATTCAACTTTCGATTGCGACTACATACTACTTATATCTGTCAGTATATACCACTATATGACAATCGATATTATAGAAAATTTAATATCAACTAGCTATAAAATTTTTCCATTATTTATAGTTCAACTGCTCTATAAGCTATAATACAGTGAAAAACAGACAAATTAACATGTAATTGTGCTATGGTCGAACGTCTTGATTATTTAACTCAACCCTTTGTAATTGACATAAGCTTGTTAGATAATTCTCAACAAATGTAACTAAGAGAGTGTTGTTTTTTCTATATTTGTAAAGTCAGTTTGTTTGAATTTTGTATTATTTGCTTTTTTTGTATTGTAGTTATTGAACAATCACAAATTCGGTGTATTATTATGTCGAAAAAATCAGTCAACTGAAGAAGAAATGTACAACAATGGTAATTTAATTTTAAATGTTTTCATTTCATTATTATTATTGTTGTTGTTTATTTTAAAAGCATCCATGTATTCAGTGAAATGATGCTTCATTGTTGTAATTCTAATGAATCATGAACAATGTTCGTAATCATTTGTTGAGATTAGATGCTGGTTGGAGGTAGTCAACAAGAAACCCTGGACCCGGGTTTCGTGCTACTTGGCACTCGTCAGCAAGGTGTGCCTGTAATCTTGAGGGAACTGGTGCTCCCTGACGGATTCGTTCCGGTGTCTTTTATTGATGGCAGCAAATTTAAGTTATATACAGGATATTTTTCTTTAAATTGTGAATTATAAGTTTATTGTTTCTGTAAAAAAGATAAAAATGAGCAATGATAGTGTAATGGAAATTTATAAATTTGCTATTTGTATATATGTTATACGTAAGAACAAGTTTTTAATGTTTGAACATCAGAATTCTAACCAAAATTCACATATAAAAATGGATCAGAAGTGAGTGATCAAGACTAAACATGGATTTTTTTTAGCAGATATGGATACTGGCTAGCAGTGTAATCCAGGACGCTCGTTTCCTCCTATTTGGGACTCTTCAATTAGATGTACCTGCATCTTAGAGTTGATGTTCGCCCTGAGACTCGAACCCAGTGAATAACGCGATGGCGTTTGAAGCAAACGGTAGTGGGTTTGAGTCTCAGAGTGAACATCAACTCTGATATGCATGTACATCCAGTTGACGAGTCCCAAATAAGAAGAAACGAACCTCCGTGATTCCACTGCAAGCCACTATCCATCTTCGCGGATAAAGCTTCTGACCTAAGGCAATATCGAAGCAGTGCGCACAGTATGCCAACAAGAGACTGATCGATCGCAGTCCGAAATAACAATGGAAAGATACAAGTAAACGACACCAAGTGAATTTAAACGTGGATTATTTAAACAAATTTAAAGTTCTGTCGCACTAATCAATGTTAGAGCTTGGTTATAGTGTGACAGATAGGTTACTTTATGCGTAATAGGCATAAATTCACTTAGTTCACCAGTGAGATTTATTCATTAAAAAGAAGTAATAGTTAATTGTCATCTCAACCTTAACCTATGTGCGAAAAACTAAATTTATAGTTTACCGTGTACTGTTATTGTAATTGATTCACTATCAATCTTCTTTTCTTTAATTTTTACAAAAGCATCCAATTTTTTTTTGTTTTTTCGACCTTTAATGTTCACGAACATTTTTCTACTATATTTCCATATTTTCTTTCATTCTAGTAGCACTTTTATCGTTCACTTTAGTCAACTTTTAACTTACAGTTAGTCTTATAATTTTAACCTGATCCAGTGAAATGTTTAATCTCCGATCAGATAAGCAGTTCATGTAATTGTTTTTTCTAATAATATCCTTAACAATTACTAACAGTATCACTACTGAGGAATCCCAGACTAGTGCGAAACGGCAGTCTAATGCTTCCAGGTTTTCATTAGTTGTTTAGCTTAGATTAACTTGTGAATTCAACTTTAAAAGTATCGTTATTATTATTATGACTAATTTGTAAATGTGTTTTGTTAGGAATCATTAATCTTATTATTTCATCTACCATAAACGTAACATTTAAGAAGTGTTTTCCACAATCACCGACATCATAGTCTTTTTTCTGCTTATTCCATTTGTCTATAAATTATTGTTGTATAATTGGTGATTACGATTATAATTAATCCTCATTAGTTAACTAAATGATTTGACACTTATTATGCACTAACTTACATTTGTAAAATATTTTGTTTATTCATGCTAACCCATGCATATTGCCGAAAAGTTAAATCATGTAGAACGAAATAAATTTATGTAATCCTACAATGTTTTGATTGCTTTTACTTTACAAAAGCACATTGAAAGAGATAAATGTATGAAATTTGTGATCAAGTTTAGATATACAGTTCAAATGGTTGTCGGTCAACATAACATAGAAAAAGAAAAAACCTTAGTGATATGAACTGATCTAGGAAAACTACTGGTAAACTGGGAACACTAGACGGCTGTTTTATCCTAGTAGGAAACTCCTCAAAAGTACACATCTACTCTCTTCTGTTGAACTAAGGATAGGGAGTGAAGTAGTCGAACTCGTTGACAACTTCACCTATCTTGGAAGTCTGATCAGCCCTAATGGGTTGGTGTCTGACGGAATCTCATCACGCATTCGAAAAGCTCGTTTGGCTTTTGCCAACTTACGTCACCTATGGCGAAGGCGAGATATCCGTCTATCAATAAAAGGACGAGTATACTGCGCGGCAGTCCGTTCTGTTTTAATTTACGGCAGCGAAACATGGCCATTAAAAGTAGAAGACACTCGTGAGCTATTAGTATTTGACCACAGATGTCTTAGAAATATTGCTGGCATCACCGGGTAAGTAATAGTGAGGTTAGACGCAAGGTATTAGGAAATGATGGTAAATCAGTTGATGAGGTTATGAATCTTCATCGACTGAGATGGTTGGACCACGTGTTACGTATGCCCGAACACCGATTATCACGACGTGCAATGCTAACCGGTGTTGGAAATGGTTGGAAGAAAGTTAGGGGTAGCCAAATCACAACGTGACATTAGTGCTTGAAGTCACTAACTTCTAATCTGAGCCACGTTGATGCAAACTACTTGGTTGGGGTCCACATGACTATCGTAACCAATGGTTGGAGACTGTAGGTGACATGGCTCAGAATCGATCACAATGGCGTAGGTGTATACACCCTCTGTCTTCCTTTAAACTAAGAGATTAAAATCGGCTCATATCTTTCTTTATTTCTACGAACGAATTCTTTCTTCGTGTACTATATCCTTATTGCAATCTTTCTTTTATATATTACCACCTCTGAATTAACTACTTTTATGAATCCGGTGTCCATCTTGTTGTGTTAATGAGGTCTGGCAACTTGGACAGATGCATATATGTGCCTGGTCGTACGTTGTAGCTGACTGACTGACTGACTTCTGTTGATAACTTCCTCACACTTGAGAGGTTAAACGTTTAGATGCGAGATCAAAGGTCTTTAGTCCGGTTGCTGAGTGGTAGATCGTGAACGAACATTCTTGAACAGTCACATAATTCCAGGTTTTCATTGGTAGTCTGGTTAAAATCAAACCATTATTTAAATTTGGAAAAATTTTACAATCTTTACAAAACGTTTTTTTATGCTAGTAATTTTGATTATGATTATTTCCTTGATGAAACTTAGACCAGTTTACCGGGTAAAGCTTTGGAATTATGTAAATTTTGGTATCTAAGATCTCTCAAACATCATTTTCTTATATGAATCTACTAGTGGCCTATTGAGTTTAAGCGCTTTTTGGTTATATATGAATGTAGTTACCCTCTACGGTAAAATTTAATTTATGAAACTTATCTTCTTAAAACAATCTTCAGTTTAGAAAGTTTTGTTCTTTTCAATGTAATTCACTATGTTACTGTAGTCAATAATTTTATCGGACCACTCAATAAAGTTATGCAGAATAAATATTTTCAGAAGTAAAGAAAACTATTAAAAAGTGTTTTGTGATATGTTATCAATGATTAGATGTAAGTATTTAGTTCAGATTTCTCTATTGTCGAGGAGATTCACTGGTTATTTAAGGTCATTTTGTGATGCACACTACATATGTCCAATAATTTTCACAAATCCTTTATACAATTAAAGGTAATCATGTACATACAAGTAACAAATATTAAGAGGAAATTCCTAAAGTCCTACTGAGACTCCATGACTAGTGAAATTCAACCTTATAAGTAGTTAGGCAATTATATACCAATCACTTCAGAAGACAGTTGCACAACATTGCAAAATGACCTAAATTAAAGGATATAAATTACTGAATGTGAAGGTTAAACGTCAAATGCAAAACTTGAAGGTCTTTAATTGTATTCTTAGTCGAGTCACAATCATAGATTAGGTATCCCATACTAATGCAAAATAGCCATTCAGTCCTTTATTTTTTCAGTGTTTGTCTAAAGCTGATATGGGATATAAACTTTAAAACGATACTAAATTTACAGGCAGTGATCTTCAACAGTTTAATTCATCCAAATTAGTTTTATTATATTTTTAAAAAAAATAATAGAAATCATTATTGATCGTACATCTTTGTTTCTTAAACCCTTGGGTACTTGGTTTTAATCCTTCTCTCTCAACTATACACTTTCATATATCGCTGAAAAATTCCCATTATATTAAAACACAGTTAATATGAACGAAGAATATTCTTTTCAATAATTTCTCATCAGGTTATTATAAATCCAGATTAATAATCTATAAAATTGGCCAGATTTTAGGCAGAGTACATCATTTGGAAGTTGTAATATATGAATTGAGAATTGTTGTTTGTCATACAAAATCAAATCAAATCGTTAATGTTGGGGCTGATTAATATGAAGTTATCAGAAGGGGTTTGTGGATTGGTTGAAGTTAGACATTAACACCATTAGATGCCGGCTCAGTGGTCTAGTTGGTTAAGTGCCTGGCCAAACCATATAGGTCCTGGGTTCGAATCTCGCGGGGTGCGGGGTCGTGGGTGCGCACTGCTGAGGAGTCCCATACTAGGGCGAAACGGCCGTCTAGTGCTTCCATGTTTTCCATGGTGGTCTAGCTTCAATCGACTCATGATTACAATCTGTAATATGAAGCTGTTAACTTGAATCAGTTTCTAAGTGAAATGAAATTGTGAGATAAATGATCAGAATAAATATGGTCAACATGGGGTGAGAAAGAAAATAATGGGATAAAAATCGGAAATTACGTACTATGTAGAATAATATGAATTAGGTCGGATATAGTAGATTTAGGGGTGGATATTGAATAAATTCCTCAAAAGGTTACCAAGTGTAATGATAATGATAGTAATAATAAAAATAATAACAATAGCAATAATAATAAGTTTGGGACATAAAATGAACATTAATCAGATTACATCACCATATTATAAAGTTAATTATTAACTAGTTGACCCCAAAGTTGGCC